TGGTAGGCTTAAATGGGGAGTAGAGTTAATGCGAGAGGGTCAGAGAATGGGCGATCATGTCAGCCATTTTATGCTAACTGGTAGGTACAAACAAATCCCTCTCTCAGAGTGGGCTATTATAGACTTTCGTCATAATTCCTTTAGGCCAGATTTCAAGACTTTGAATCCTAATATTTGGTATACTTTATATGCAGATGATTATAGTACCATGACTATCATTTGTTATGGCAAAGAAGAGATGCTCCTAACTTTACGTGGTGATGATCCTCACCTCTCTCCTCATTAGCTTCTTTCATGCATATATATATCTTCTGCAATGTTCTTGCATTTCCTATCACTGCATTATAATATAAATGAGAAACTTATCAAAATAATTGCTTGATCTAGCTTTTAATAAATAATTGCCAATTTTCTTTTCAGTTTGTAAAAAGACCTTGTCACTAATAGTAAGAATGACAAATAGATATTTTCTTAGGATTCCTTACCAGAAGGATTAAAACCATTCCTTCCTCAGCACAGTATATATTTAATAAAAAAGTTTAATGAATTACCATCATATTATATATCCAAAAATTTTAATGTAACACAATTTGAACTAAAAGCGTATGTGATGCTGATAGCAAAAAAGAAGAACACAAGTGGTTCAATTATAATCCAAAAATAACAATAACGCAAACAAGGGGTTTTAATGTCAAAGGAAATCAGATTCTTTATAGTAATGATATAAAGAAAAAATAAGGCAATTGTAAAACAAAACATTCACAATCTACTCAAGTACATAATATAAACTGCAACTATTAACCTTTGATTAGAATGAAACAACTTTCATATAGCTATCCTTTAGAAGTTGAAATAAAATTTACATATAATTACATTATTAATTCGATTGAATCCTTAAGTTTTCAACATATTGAGAAAAACGTTCATTAGGAATTTATTAGCTTATTCAAAGATGAAAACTCTTCAGCTTTAGCTTTATATGTATATGAAAACAACCTTCATCTCAATACTTTGAATAAACAAAATTGTTAAAGATTTTTGCCAATCGTGTCAAAAATTCAGGTTATGATTATGTCATAAAAATCTTTAGAAATACTGTGAATTTGCACTTGAAAGTTGTAATGGTAAACTGATGTTTAAGTGTTTGAAATAATTAGTTGAAGAATATAATAGGTCAAGTCAAAGTAGAGTAATTTTGCAAGAATATAATGCAATTTTTGAAAATGCATTTATTCTATATATTATAATAAATTTGATGATCCAAGTGCATAAAAAATTCATCAAGCAGGTGAAATTTGTTACATAGATGCATCAGTTGCTTTTGATTCACTTAATACTTTGATAATCCTTTATATATAGGTTGTACTGTCAATATACTTCCGCTTGGAGTTTTTATCTCAAATGAACTTGAAA